GGGCAGGGGCGGGCAAGGAGCGGGGGGCGGGTTCGCCGGCACCAAGGAGTTGCTGGGACCCGCTGCGTGCCTTGCCAAGCTCGTGTGTGTGTGTGTGTGTGTGTGTGTGTGTGTGTGTGTGGGAGAGAGAGAGAGACAGACAGACAGACACACACGCACAACGTCGAACGCACTGGGAGTGTGTGGCAGGGTGTATGGTTGTGTGCATTTTTGTGCTGCAGGGTGTGAGGTGATTTGTACCTGAAGCTGCGTGGTAATAGCATTTTTAAAAATTATTTATTTAATTTTATTTTTATTAATTCATTTATTTTAATTTGACCAGAGAGAGAGAGGGAGAGAAAATGAAAAAGCAAGTCACCAGGCCTGGGACTCAAATTGTTGTCGGCCATGTGGGAGAGTCAGTGCCTTAACCACTCCACCACCTGCTAGTCCCAATAGAATTTTTGATACAGGATTTGTCTGATACAATAAGAAACCTCTGCTCTTGTGGTTTGTTTGTGAAGGATCTCTGTATTTCCGGATTTGTATCCGTAACTTGAGTAACTGGTGATGGTATGTGTTATGTGACCGTACATTTCTTGTGCTTGTATTTCAGAGTATAAGGGTTTGACTGGCAAATGACCCTGTGTGTGATCGTGTGTAGCAGTGACAAAATGATGGTCAAGTAATTATATTTCTTCTTTGAGTACTAATTTGATGAATCTGACAAGTAATTTAGACCTTTTTTTTCTGTTTATTTTTTTGCTACAGGGTGCATACACTTGCCAAAGAGACAGAGAGAAAGTGAAAGTTTACCCCTTATGCTCCCCAGGGAGGATGGCTACACCACAATTCCTTCTTCTCCTCTGTTTTCCTCTCAGGATTTTGGGCATGCACACGTGCCCAGTGTGATTCTCAAGCCACAGGATCTGGGACACCAACTACAAAGATGAGCATATGGAATTCAATACCTTAACCTCCAGGCCACCTGCTGGCCCCTTCATGATTTTTTCAAAATAATTTCAAAGCCAATTCTTATGTAAATGTTTTTTCATCTGCTGTAGTATTCCCAAAGTAGACAGCCATTATTTTCTGTTATTAGAGGGACATTACTGGGTATGGTCGAGAGAGTATCAATTGATGAAATAATATAATAACTGTATACATAAGAATTAATTTTAGCAGAGTTCAGCATTAGTTGTATTTCTTGAATTCTATAGCAAACCCTCTTCTCATTTTCTGACAAGCAAACCTTGGCTTTCACAGAGAACATAACTTTAAGGCTGCACAGTCTATTGGTAAGTCTGAATTTGTTTTCACTGGACAACCTTGGGGTTTTTTTTGTTTGTTTTTCAAAGAATTATTTATTATGATGATTCTTTTTCTTAGGAAAGATTTTTACTATAGAGTGTGCACTCGCTGGAAAGACAGAGAGAGAGACAGAAAGCAAGAAATCACCCCCCACCCCGGGGAGAATGTCTATGTGGCAATCTCTTCTCCTCCATTCTCTTCTTGAGATTGGCATGCACACAGGCACTCAGTGTGAGTTTTAAGTCACTAGCTCCAGGACTCAAAGCTCGATCAACTAGTGGATGTCCAACAACATAACCATTATACCATCTGCTGGTCCCATTATAATTATTTTTCTTTAATTTGACCAGAGAGAGAAAGAGAGGAAAAGTAAGAAAGCAAGCTGCTAGGTCCAGAACTTGAACCCTGATTGGCCATGTGGGAATCCAGTGCCTTTAACCACAATGCCATATGCGGCCTCAGTTGATTGTGACTTCCAGCACAGAGAAGACAACGCTGTAATTTCACTACTACTTCAGGGGAAAAAATTAATAAGACTTGTTCTTTCAAATATTTTTATCTCTTCCCAGTATGTGATGAGGGAATGGAGTTTGGTGACCAGGATGGTTAACTGAATCAGTCTTTCTGCATCATTAGGAATAGCTATGTGAAATAGAGGTAGTAAAAATGCACTGACCTAGAGTGAGTCAAAGTAGAGCAAGAATTATGCCAGAGTATATTTGGGAGATGTAGATTGATGTTTTGCTGTTTTGTTTTTGTTTTTAGAGGTGACACATTCTGGTTTCAAATTGAACAGCATGGGGGACCAGTAGGTGGCATGGTGGTTAAGGCGCTGGAAACTCCCACATGGCCGACCAAAGTTCGAATCCCGGACCTGGTGGCTTGCTTTCTCACTTTCTCTCTCTCTCTCTGATCAAATTATAGTAAAAGAATGAATAAATAAAATTAAATAAATCATTTTAAAAAACAAGTTGAACAGCATAAATCAATCTCAAGTCATATCTGTGTGATTCTGAGTTCTCTCTTTTGGGTTTTCAACAGTTGTTATGAACACTTACAAGAAAAAGAAAGCTATTGTTTAGAAGAGGAAAGCAAGAATTGCTAACCAGAGATGAATAGATTTTATGCAGATGGGCTTCCTGTTGTATATTAAAGCTGTGACATTTTAAAGGTGTTGATATGTGATTTTTTTTTCAAATTATTTATTTTATTTGTTACTATTAAGTAATCATAATAAGTTTAAGTTTGCTATAAGGCACATGTGCTCACTGGAGCAAGAGCATGCAAGTGAGAGAGTGCAAGAAAAGGAGAGGAAAAGTGAAAACGCAAGCCAGCAGCTCCAGGACTTGAACTGCAGTCAGCCATGTGGGAATCCGGCATGTTAACCATCATACCACCTGCTGGTTCATGGTGTGATATTTTTTAAATAATGAAAGTATAGGAGTCAGCAGGTGGCATGGTGGTTCAGGCACTAGATTCCCATTTCCCTGACTGAGGTTCAATTCCCAGACCTGGTGACTTGAAACACGCCAGGCGTGTGTGTGTGTGTGTGTGTGTGTGTGTGTGCCCCAAATCCCAAGAGAATGGAGAAGAAAGGATTTGCTTTCTGTGTGTGTGTGTGTGTGTGTGTGTGTGTGTGTCCAGTGAGCACATGTGCCTTATAATAAAAATCTCTAAAAAAAAGAAGAAAAAAGGTATAGGGGAGTTTATCAGATTCTCAGAGATATTATACCCCAAAAAGGTTAAGGCCATTATAAATACAGATTGCAAGAACTGAGTGGATTTTTTTTTTAGCACACTAGATGAATAATTAGTATAAAATAGTGTATATTTTATAGAAGGCTATATCTCATACTCCTGTTAATGGTGAACTTTGGGATGAGAAGGGAGAACTTAGGATGAAGAAGAAGTAAATGTCAAAAGCAACTTAAGCATTATTAATAATTTCTCAGTAAGAAAAATCATGTATTTAAATTTTTATTTTAAAATTCAAAAGAAAATGGAGATGTTGAAGATTTTGGAGCAAGAAATTGAGCCAAGGAACCTGGACTATAGAAGCAGGAAAAAAATGCAGAAAAACTTACCTGCAGAGGAAAAGGAATACTTAGGCAAAAGATTTTCATAGACCTGAAATGCATTTGTTTATGTGTGAGTCCAGTGTCTTAAGCACCACACCAGCTGCTGCCACATTTGTTTATATGAAATTATCAGTTTGAGATGTATGTCCTTATGACTCATATTGATTTGCACACCTTTAAGAATTAGTTGTCTCTTCAATCTAGCAATGGATCAGTTCTGTGGTAGTTGGTGCCCCTAAACAGCACTGGTAAGTGTGTTCTCCTTCCTAGCACTAGATTGTTTTCTTTCAGAGTCGTTGTCAATATTGTCACATGATTTTGACCTTTTTCCAACAGATTAGTTTCATACAGGTACATATGAGTCAAGCATCTTGTGATCCTGGGAAAACATTTGAAGCACTTTGGTAATTTATTTTAGAGAGATTTTTGCTATAGGGCAAGTACACTTACTAGAGACAGAGAGAGAGAAAGTGAAAAAGCCACTTTCCTGGGGGAGGGGGGGTGGCCATGCCACAATCCCTTCTCCTCCATTCTCCTCTCGGGATTTTGGGCATGCATTCATATGCACTTGGCATGAATTTCAAGTTGCTGAACCCAGGACTCAAAGCACAGTAGGCCATGTGGGAGTCCAATGCCTTAACCACTATACAACCTGCTGGCCTCAGCACTTTGGTATTTTCATAATTATTTTTCCCTATATGTTTATTTTGGAAAATGTTAAAGCTATTGGAAAATTAAAAGAATAGTATAATGATGTACATTGTTTATACTTCACCTAGAATAACCAGGTTTTATTTTGAAAAATTATTTTATTTAACTTTACTTATTATTATTATTTTTAAAAATTTTGACTAGGGAACCAGCAGTTAGCGTAATGACTATGTCGCTAGACTCCCATGTAGTCAACCGCGGTTCACATCCCGGACCTGGTGGCTTAAAACTCACGCCGGGCGCGTGTGCGTGCATGCCCAAGATCTCGAGAGGAGAATGGAGGAGAAGGGATTGCAGCGTGACCATCCCCCCTGGGGGGGGTGATTTCTCGCTTTCTGTCTCTATGTCTCTCTCTGTCTGTCTGGCGAGCGCATGCACCCTATAGTGAAAAACCTCTCAAAAAAATTTTTTTTGACTAGACAGAGAGAGAGAAAAAAAAAAACGAGAAAGCAAGCCACCAGGTCCAGGACTCAAATTGTGGTTGGCCATGTAAAAGTCCAGCGCCTTTAACCATCATGCCACCTTCTAGCCCCAGAATTACCATTTTTAACATTTCGCACCATTTGTTTAATCCCTATGTGTATTTATTTATTTGTAAGAGTTGTTTTTTATTTAACTTAGTTGATTTATTTCAATTTGACCAGAGAAGAACAAAGTGAGAGAAAGAGAGGGAAAGTGAGAAAGCAAGTCGCCACATCTGAGACTTGATGACCAAAGTCAGCCACGTGGGAGTCCAGTGACCTTAACCACCACGCCACCTGCCAGCCCCCCATGTGTATTTATGTATTTTCATTTTTTCTCAACATTTATGAGTAAGCTGCAGTCACCATATACTTCATCACTAAGTATTTGAACATGCATCTGTAAGAACAGGTTGTTCTCCTACATCACCTCAAAACATGAATACACACATACACACACACAACACCCCAATAATTCATAATATTTAATATGTAATCCATATTTAAGTCTCCCCAGTTATTTCTCAAATGTTCTATTTGTATAATTTAAAAATTGACCAACAATCCCAATCAAGGTCACATATTTTACTGGATGGGCTTATTTTTTTCATTTCTAGAAAAGTATTCTCTTTACCTGTTTTTGTGTTTCACAACCACATTTTTGAAGAGTTGAACCTAGAATATTTGTCTTGTAGAATGTCTAACATTCTGGATTTAGGTGTTCTATCATAATTAGGTTAAGTTTCAATCTATTTGGCAAGAATTCTAGGGTTACTTATGTGTTCTTCCTATCATATCACATCAAGAAACACATAATTTGGCACCAGCAGTTAGTGTAATGGCTATGTTGCTGGACTCCCATGTAGTCAAACGCGGATCGAGTCCCAGACCTGGTGGCTTAAACTCACACCAGGTGCGTATGAGTGCATGCCCAAGATCCCAAGAGGAAAATGGAGGAGAAGGGATTGCAGCGTGGCCATCCCTCCTGGGGGCGTGATTTCTTGCTTTCTATCTCTCTGTCTCTGTCTGTCTTTCTGGCGAGCGCACATGCTGTATAGCAAAAACCTCTCAAAAAAAAAAAAAAAAAAAAAGAAAGAAAGAAACACATAATTTCAGTTTGACATTATTGGTGATACAAAATTTGATCACTTTGGTTCAAGTAGAATGTAAATGTGATTTGTCCATGGTAAAAGATACCTTTTTTCTTTGTAGTCAAAGAGTAATCTGGTGGAAATACTTTTCAGATAATTTTAGATATAACTGATTACCTAAATGTTTTTGTATTGTTGATAATCCTTGCCTAAATCAGTTACTAAATTAGAGGTAACAAAATGGTGTTTGTAACTTTATCATTTCCTTCCTTTTTATAAAAGAGCTTTGGCATTACCACCATTTCCTTCTCTACCCCTATATTTTTTTCTCTTTTGAGTACTGCTATGACTCAGATTAAGAATTATTATTATTATTATTTAAATCTAAAATGCTTTAGCCTCCAAACAGAATAACCAAACAGATTTTTCTCAGCATTTTTTAAAAAATTTTGCTAGAGGGAATGTGTACTCACTGGAGACAGAGAGTGATGGAAAATGAGAAAGCATCTTCTTTGGGGGGTAGCCATGCCACAATCTATTCCCTCCTGTTTCTCCTTTCAGGATTTTGGGCATGTATGCACATGTGCCTGGAGTGTTTTTCAAGCTGCTGGGTCCAGGACCTGAACTGTAGAGTTGGCCATGTGAGACCCAGCCACCTTAACCAGCATGCTACAGCTGGCCATATGTTTTGCCTTTTCATGGGTCTTGTTTCCCCATAAGGTGATCGACCTTATCTACTGGGAGATTTGTAGTCTGACTAGTCTAGAACTAACTAAACAAATGTAGTTTTTCACGGCTTATTTTTTCACTCATTCCCCAGTGTGGCCATCTCAGGATCCTGCTGTCTCCTGAGAAGAAGAAGAAATGGCAAAGTCCCACGTGAGTTTTAAATGATATGTTTATTTTACTATATTATTCTGCAATGCAGATAAAAATTACAATAATCTCAACAATAATATGAAGAAAGCCTAAATAGATGAAAATCAGTGAGGAAAAAATATAAATTATTAATACTAGGAGAAAATTACTATTACAATATATAGAAATAAGTTCATTTAGCAATGTTTCAAATTTAAGTCTGACCTTCATAGGAAAAATAAGTTGCAATATAAAATTAGCAAAATTCATTACATAGTTTGTACTGTCATGATAAAGTCTATTAATTTAGACATTTTTGTGAAGAGTTGGAGATGAAGTGGTTATAAACCACATTTCCTACCTCCAGCAGCAGTCGACTTCTCTGTCTAGAACCCAGGAGTGAGAGATTCAGAATCGAATCTCTTTTCCCTCTCCTTTCTTGTAACAGTTTTTTGATCTTCAGCTACACTTTTTGGTTTTGTGAGGAATCTTACCATCAAATACAATGTCTAGCAATGTTACCAACAAGACAGATCCTCACTTCATGAACTCCTGTGTATTCATTGGGAATCTCAGTACTCTTGTGGTCAAGAAGTCTGATGTGGAGGCTATTTTCTCAAAGTATGGCAAAATTGTGGGTTGCTCTGTTCATAAGGGCTTTGCCTTTGTTCTGTATGTTAACGAGAGGCATGCCTGGGCTGCTGTGGCAGGAGAGGATGGCAGAATGATTGCTGGCCAGGTTTTAGATATTAATCTGCTGCAGAACCAAAAGTGAACCAAGGAAAAGCAGGTGTGAAATGATCTGCAGCAGAAAGATACTGCTTATCTTTTGACTTTGACTATGACTTTCAATGGGATGTAGTTACCCAGCACGTGTTTCACCACCACCTCCTATTACTCATGCTATAGTGCCCTTGAAATGCCAGCGTGTATCAGGAAACACTTCACGAAGGGGCAAAAGCTCCACTTCTAAGAGTGGACAACAAGGTTCCTCTTCCAAGTCTAGAAAGTTGAAAGGAGATGACATTCAGGTCATTAAGAAGGAGTTGACCCAGATAAAACAAAAAGTGGATTCTCTTCTGGAAGACCTGGAAAAAATCGAAAAGGAACAAAGCAAGCAAACAGGAGAGGACCAGGAAGCATCGCTAACGACATGTGGTCTGGCAGACTGAAGGAGTTGGCCACATACTCTTTCCTGTGACAGTTGATTTTTTTTTTTTTTGTGGAGAGATTTTTGCTATAGGGCGTGTGCGCTCGCCAGAAAGACAGAGAGAGAGAGATAGAAAGTGAGAAATCACCCCCCAGGGGAGATGGCCATGCCACAATCCTTTCTCCTCCATTCTCTTCTCGGGATCTCGGGCACACATGCACATGTGCCCAGCATGAGTTTAAGCCACGGAGTCTGGGACTTGAACTGCAGTCAGCTACATGGGAGTTCAGCGACATAGCCATTATGCTAACTACTGGTGCCAGACAGTTGATTTTTTTTTTATAACCTGAGGAAAATTTAGCTGCACCAACGTCAACTGAGTTTTCAATTTCTGCACCCTAGTTCAGATCACCTCAACCAAGAAAATGAATTTGGAAGCATCCAAGAAAAGCTACCCTGATAACTCAAAGAAACCAGTTGAAAATAGTAAACAAATACAGTATAGAAAAGTGAGTAATCCAGGGGCTGGCAGGTGGTATGGTGGTTAAGGATGCTGGACTCCCACATGGCTGACCATGGTTTGAGTCCCAGACCTAGCAGCTTGCTTTCTCACTCTCTCTCTCCTCGCTCACTCTGTCTCTCCCTGGTCAAATTAAAATAAATAAATAAAATTAAATAAAAAAAAGGAAAGTGAGTGATCCATAAATGAGTTACATATAATAGTATAGGCTACTAAGTATGTTTAAATGGCTTCACTTTCCCCTATCAGTGGTGTACCTCACAGAAATCAGCAATAATTTATACTGCAGTTTTCAATCTGTTAAGGAACACTGTTTTAGTGAATTTTAGTATTTGGAAGGACCATGGGATAAAGTGAAAATATGGCCAGTTAAACAGCAGAGGAAAAGATGAACATTGATTATTTGCCTGGCTAGGATTAAGGTTTTTCAAGTGTTTAAGATCAAAGACTAAATTCAGGGGTGTTCGAAAGTTCCAGCTTTTATTATTTTTTTAATCAAATCTGTTTTAAGGAATTAAAGTATGTCAAGAGGCAGCCTTAATACATAATAGATCCTTGCATTAGTAACTGAAGGTAATAGGAATTATTTTAAAATCTCAGTCATAAAACGTAGGCTTGCTTAAGGAGTGTGGAGTGAGACCAGCAGAGGGCATAATGATTACATCGCTGGACTTCCATGTAGTCAACCATGGTTTGAGTCCCGGATCCGGTAGCTTAAACTCAAACCGGGAGCATGTGTGTGCCTGCCCAAGATCCCGAGAGGAGAATAGAGGAGAAGGGATTGAGGCGTGGCCATCCACCCTGGGGGGTTGATTTCTTGCTTTTCATTTCTCTGTGTCTCTCTGTCTTTCTGGCAAGCGCACTTGCCCTATAGCAAAAAAACTCTCCAAAAAAAAAAAAAAAAGGTGTGGAGTTACAGCCCTGTTGTGTATTATTGTGAGACTCCCACCACTTAAGTTAGAACTACAAAGCATAATGAGAAGATCATGTAATAGGGTAAACAATAAAGACAAAATAGTTGATAGAAAGGATTTGACGCCCAGGATAAACGGAGGTAAAGGCATAATGTACATTGGTCTCATTTCCACTTCTGTGCATGTTAGGTTATTGTTTCAAGTGGCACATAGGAATTATGTCCTATTCTGAGAGATTTGTAAAAATAACTTCTACAAGCCTTATCACAAATACAGAAAATTTGTAATTACAACAGTTGTCAAACATTTTTTTTTGGAGAGGTTTTTTGTTTTGTTTTGTTTTGTTTTTTTGTTATAGGGCATGTGCGCTCACCAGAAAGAGAGAGACAGAGAGATAGAAAGCAAGAAATTACCCCCCAGTGAGGATGGCCATGCCACAATCCCTTCTCCTCCATTCTCCTCTCGGGATCTTGGGCACACACACACATGCGCCAGGCGTGAGTTTAAGCCACCGGGTCCAGGGCTCGAACTGCGGTCGACTACTTGGGAGTTCAGCGACATAGCCATTACACTAATTGCTGGTCCCACAGTTGTCAAACTTTAAAGTTAATGATTCCTAACCAAGTACAGTAGCTTTTTAAGTCCTGATATACAGTTGTGCATGCCAGACTGGTAAAATATCTGTTTGGGAACCATATTTCTGATGTTGGGGTGATTGAAATTCAGTACCAAGATAGAGGACTGAGGCATAAAACTACCCATTGTATGAGAAAGGGAGTGGAACACATTAGCTGGGAAAACCTTCTAAGAGTGTAAGGGTGACTGGCTCATAATGAAGTTAGTAACAGGATGCCTATGCATATCATTTTGAGAGTTCATTCAGTACAATAAAAGGGTTATTAGGAAGCTATAAAAAAGTAGCTGAAAGGATCAAATTGAAGTATGTGCCTGAATTGAAGAACGTGCACCAAAGTATAGAAAGCACCTGTAGCAGCATCTGGTAGAGGTCAAAGGTAGGAAAACTAGAGTAGTGGGAGACAAAATTCTTTATTACCTGAGACTCAAGCAAATCATGTTTATGTAAGCCAAATTATCATATTTGGCTACCACACTGAAAACTAGAACTCTCAACAAAATTTTGTGGTGATAGGAAAGAAGAAAAAAGAAAAAGCCTATTAATTTCTTGAAGGAAAATAAAATATTTTCATTAGAGAAAAGTAAAATGCTTTGATAAAAGATGGCGTTATGTCTACATCACTGGACTCCCATGTAGTGGACAGTAGCTTGAGTCCTGGGCTCAGTGGCTTAAACTCATGCCGGGCACGTATGCATATGTGCCCAAGATCCTGAGAGAAGAATGGAGGAGAAGGGATTGCAGCATGGCCATCCCACAGGGTGATTTCTCACTTTCTGTCGCTCTGTCTCTCTCTGGCTTTCTGGGGAGCACACGTGCCTGATAGCGAAAACCTCTCCAAAAAAAAGAAAAAATGTTTTTCCATGGGCCAGGAAGTGGCACAAAGGTTAAGGCTGGATCCTTCATGGCCAGCTGCATGGTTTGAGTCCCAGGTCCATTGGTTTGAGAAGCACATCAGGAGTGTGTGTATGTGTGTCCAAAATCACAAGAGAAAAATGGAGGGAAGAGATTGCAGCATGGCCTTAACCCCAGGGAGATGATTTCTCACTTCCCATCCCCCATCCCACCCATGAGTACACACATGCTAAAGCCAAACTAAAAAAAGTGTTTTCAGGATGGCCCTGTGACCTGGTGGTTGAGACAGCCAGACCTACAGAACTGACCAGGTGGTTTTAATCCCAGCCCTGGTAGCTTGAAAAACACACCAGGCATGTGTACATGCATGCCCCAAATTCCAACAGGACAGAGAAATGCAGAAGGAATTGTGGCATGACCACACACATGGAGAGTGCTTTCTCCCTCTCTGTCTCTCTCTCTTCTGGCAAATACACACATCCTCTGGCAGTAAATAATAATAATATTGCATGTTCTGTTTTTGATCCCATCTTCTAGAACCTTTCTCCATTATAAGTTAATACTCAAATATATTCAATAGTTCTTTGCCATGACTCACACAGCTGAATGCATTTTCTGAGTGGGGGAAGAGGGCTATGGATTAGAAATAAACATAAAAGTAAACATACAAATACATACAAGTAAAGAAAAGTGGGGATCAGGTGGTCTCAACTTCTCTGATGGAGATAACTGCAGTCCTAAACTGGTTCCAGGTTTATTGTTTTAAAGGGCAAAAAATAGGGGAAGGGGAAGTGGAATGCAAGCCAGTTGTTTTCAGATGTTAATCTGCTGAATATACTAAGACACCTGGTGACATGTAGTTCTGTGTAAGTTTTTCCTAATCTTTTTGGGCAAATTCTGTTGAAACACTGTGATTTCCTTTAGACCAATACTGCTCTGCAGTTTTAGTAACAACAGGTAACTAGAGTACTCACATGTCAATGGCATTCATGGTCCTGCAAATGACTGCTCATGGAACCGTGTTTCTGCATGTGTCTAAAGGTCACCATGTTTGCACAGATTGGCCAGTCTCCATAGTTCTTTATTGCCTTATTCCCCTTTCTTTACTCTCTTCATTTTCCACATGCAAGGAGAAAACAAACAGAAACTGTTGTTTTGTCTATATGTTCTCACTAGTTACTTACAATGTAGATGTTAAGAGCACAGACATTGGAAGTAAAGAGATGTAGATTTAAAAAAAAAAAAAAAAAAAAAAGAGATGTAGATTTCAATCCTGGCTCCACCACTTTCTAATTGAGGCAAAATTTGAGCCGATGGGTGACATGGAGGTTTAAAGTACTGGATTCCATAGGGCTGACTGCATGGACCTGGCAATTTGAAAATGATGCCCAGGTATATGAGCACGCGTGCCCAAAATCCAGAGAAGAAAATGTAAGAGAAGGGATTGTGGTGTGGCCATACCCCCAGCAGTGGTTTCTCACTTTCCCTCTCTCTGTCTCTCTTTGGTGAGCTCACACACCCTATACCAAAAAAGAAACAATAAACAAAAAAAAAAAAAAAGAGAGAGAGAGACAAAATCCTTAGATGGTGGGGGTTTTTTGAGCATTAATGAGTTTTTTTGTTTGTATTTTTTTTTTGTAAGTTGCTTAGAGCTATTGTTGGTACTTGTAAGTGATCAATTAATTATCTACCTCATATTTTTTTCAGAAATAGGAGGTCTGGTGATTAAGGCACTGGATTTCCACATGGCCAACTGAGGTTTGAGTGCCAGACATTTCTCTTTACCTTTCTTTCTCTGTCTGTCTCTCTCTAGTCAAATTAAATAATAATAATAATAGCAAATGGAATTAAATAAATAAATAATTGTTTTTTTTAATTAAGAAAGAAACCATTCTTATGACTCAGATATTAGCAATTTCTTTTTATCTCATTCTGTTTGTATTATTTCTGTAAGAAAGTCCTCAAAGTATGGGATATTTGAAAGTGTAGAATTATCAATATAAATAAAGTTTTTTTTTCTGATTTCCACATTCTTTTGGAAATCAAGTTTTTGGGTTCTTTTTTAAAAAAAATTGCTTTCCTGAGCATATGTGTGGTCACCAGGGAGAGACAGAGTGAGAGAAAAAATGAAAAAGCACCCCCAATGGGGTGTGGTCATTCCATCATAATCCCTTTTCTTTCCTCTCTCCTTCCTTTTAAGATTTTGGGCACACACATACATGTACCCAGCATATTTCTCAAGTCACCTGATAAGGTTTAAAGCTACCCAGTTGGCCATGTGGGATCTGAAAGGGTTAAATGTTCCCCAAGCACCTTAGGAATGAAAAAGGTTCTTTTCTGTACTTTTCTCTTTTGAGTTTGTGAATTCCTTCACAGCCCACAATCAAGGCCACTCTAACATATTGCAGAGATCACCAGAATAGGATCTCACTGCCATGGGCTATCTATCCACCAGGCCATGGACTGACCCAAGTTTGGGGGTGGGGAGTTGTTGGTTTGTTTTATGAGAAAGGAAGTCAAAATCTGGTTTTCATTACTTCTTTTTTAAAAAGACATCTGAAATATTTTCCTTGGCTTCATCATATTATTTTATCTTGATGCTGGTTAAACTCATCTAATAATGTAACATCAGTTTTCCATTAATGAATTAATTTTTAAAAGAATTGTTTTATTTAACTTTATTATTATTTTCCAGTTTTGAATAGAGAAACAAAGGAAGAGAGAGAGGAAAAGTGAGAAAGCAAGCCACCAGATTCAGGATTTGAACCGTGGTCAGCCATGTGGGAGTCTAGTGCTTTTAACCACCATGCCACCTGCCAGCCTCCATAATTAATTATTTTTATTTTTAAAATATTGTATAGTACCTTTTTTTAAATTAAAAAAGTACTTATTTCTTCCATGGACAAGAGGAACAGCATCCCCACCAGGGTTTTGACACTACAATCTACCCACAGTTTCAGCCATCTCTGGACCATAAACACACATTTGCCCAGAGTACTCAGGGAGGTCTCTAGACACAAAATCATGTGAGTCAGTGTTGCAGAGTTTGTATTTTACTGCTGCACCAGTATACCTCTGTCTAGCATCAATGAATCCTTTTTCTTTGCTTGCTTGTTTTTTTGTTTTTTGTTTGTTTGTTTGTTTTGTTTTTTTAAGAGAGAGATTTTTGCTATAGGGCTCATGGATTCTCCAGACAGAGAGAGAAAGAAAACAAGAAATCACCCCTGCCCCCCCCCAGGGGGCGGGGAGATGGCCATGCTGCAATCCCTTCTCCTCCATTCTCCTCTTGGGGATCTTGGGCATGCACACACACGTGCCCAGTGTGAGTTTCAGCCACCGGGTCTGGGACTCAAACTGTAGTCAATTATGTAGGAGTCCAACAACATAACTATTACACCATCTGCTGACCTCTGTTTATTTTTATGTTTTTGCTGTAGGACATGTGTACTCACCAGAGAGAGACAAAGAGGGAAAGTAAGAAATCACTCCCTAAAGGGGATATCCACACCACAATCTCTTCTCCATTTTCCTCTTAGGACTTTGGGCGCACACAGTGTGATTTTCAAGCTGCTGTGTTCAGGACTTTAACCACAGTTGCTCATGTGAGAGTCAAACACCTTAACCATCACACCACCTGCTGTCCCCTCCTTGCTTGTTTCTTAAGTGGGTGTTTGTCCTTGTAATTCTATTGGAAACCTCTTTCTCATTCCATTCTCCTTAGTAGCCTCAATAAATTATCACATTCTATGGTGATGGCTTTACCTACTATACCTTTGTAGATAACTGATTATCAAATTACTCATTTCCTTTCTAATCCCTATTCAAGTTTGGTTGTTGTTTGTTTTTGTATTTGCTATAGGGCACATGTGCTCACCAGAGAGAGAGGGGAAAATTTAGAAATCAGCCCTCAGTAGGAATGGCCATGCCGCAATCCCTTCTCCTCCCTTCTCCTCTCAGGATTTTGGGCACATACATGTGTCTGGCCTGATTTTTAAGCTGCTGGGTCCAGGACATGAACTGCTGTTGGCCATGTAGAAGTTCAGCATCTTAACTAGCACGCTACCAGCTGGCCTCTTGTTTGAGGTTTTGATTAACAGACTGATGGATATGTGTACCTGGTTATTCTACAGAAAACTTAAATTTTATATGTCCAAAATTTCACTCTCACCTGATTTATCACCCTCTGCCTTCAACATCCTTTACCAGATCCTCTGTCTCAATGGATCACATAACCATCTCCTCTACACTTCCATCCCTATTATATCCCAGTGTAAGGTCTCCTTTATATGTAGTAGATGATGAACCTTTAAGTTAACTGAAGCAATGAAAAAGTTTATACTTAAAGAAAATATTCTATATGACAGTCTCACCTAGAATGCAGAATGAAACTAGATAAATATTGGGTACATATATAGATTTTTTATGAATTCTGACACCTGAATGCTTTCAGAATATGTCATCCAGTGCTCTATATTGTTACAGGGAGTAGTAACATTCAAAGATGTGGCTGTTGACTTTACACAGGAGGAATGGCAACAATTGAAACCTACTCAGAGGAATTTGTATAGGGACGTGATGCTGGAGAACTATAAAAACCTATTAACAGTAGGTAAGGATGATCTCTCTGTGAAAATCAGATTCTGTCTCTCGGAATTATGGGAAGTCAATACATGGCATAATGAGTACAACCTTGAATTGTTGAATTAAAAGATTCTTACTTCCATTATTCACATGATATGTATTTCCAGAAGACCCTTCATTGTATATCCCTAGAACCTAACACCATCCTTCATGAGAAATTCTGACCCTCCAGAGATTCAACTTAAATTCTAGGATGGTCCTTTGTCCCTAGCATTAATACGCAAGTCATATCTTTTGATAAACAGGCTACCAACTCACCAAACCAGATATCATTTCCAAGTTGGAACAGGAAGAAGAGCCATGGGTTGTAGAAGAAGCAATGTTAAGGAGATACTCAGGTGAGTAAACAAAGACACGTGTGGATGGTGCTAAGTCACATGACATTTTGTCAGAGGATGACACCTCTGAAATGTTTTTTAAGATGATTTTCTTAAAAATCCTGTCTTTTGAATGACAGTTATTAGAACTTCCTTAGAAACCTAAATGACACTCCCAGGTATTTCCTTTTTGAGAGTTTTTTGTTGTTTGTTTGTTTGTTTGTTTTAGTTTGTTTGCTTTAGGGCATGTGTGCTCACTAGAAAGACAGAGACAGAAAGTGAGAAATCAACTCCCAGAGGGGATAACCATGCAGTAGTCCTTCCCTTCCACACTCCTCTCAGGATTTGGGGTATGCATACACACATGCCTTGTATGAGTTTCAAGCCACTGTGTCTGGGACTCACCTGCAGTTGGCCATGTGGAAGTCCAACACCTCAACCACCATGCCACTTGCTGGTCACCTTCCAGTTATTCTTATGTATCAGAGCTCTCTCTATTTTTTTCCATTATATTTTGAGAATTAGCCTTCCCTAAATTCTGGATGCCAAATCTTTTTTTAAAATACTTTTTAAATTTAACTTTATTTACTTATTTTGAATTTGACCAGAGAGGGACAGAGTAAGAAAGAGAGAGAGAGAGAAAATGAGAGAGCAAGCAGCCAGGTCCAGGACTTGAACCATGGTTGGCCATGTGGGAGACCAGCATTCCCAACCACCAGGCCACTTGCCAGCCCCTGGATGCTAGATCTTAATGCTTCCTATTATCTTGTTTTCATTATATTTGCCCTTTCACTTGTATCCACATTCTTCTCCTCCACTGAATACACTTATTTACTTACGTGTTCAGGCTTTCAAAGGTACCCAGTCTTGGGGCCAGCAGGTGGCACGGTGGTTAAAGTACTGGACTCCCACATGACCAACCGCAGTTCAGGTCCTGGACCTGGAGGCTTGCTTTCTCACTTTCCCTCTCTCTCTGGTGAACACACATCCTTAGAGGAAATTTTTAAAATAATAATAATAAATAAAATTAAATAAATAATTCATTTTAAAAAATATATACAGTCTTTCCAAAATTCTGACATTTTAGGTTCATTTTTTTCATTTTCTGGAGTCCCAGACCCAATGACTTGAAAAACACAAGAACAGAATGGATAAGGAATTAAGGCATGGCCATCCCCTTGAGGGGTTATTTATCACTTTCTGTCTTTCTGTCTCTGTTTGTCCAGTGAGTATACATACCCTACTGCAAAAAAAATCTTAAAAAAAAAAAAAAACATAGCCTATATACTTTGGTACTTTCTCTAATTATTTGTCCTTGTGTATGTGTGTGTGTGTTATTTTAGTGGAATTTTGGGAGCAAATGTACAAATGCATGTTGTTCAGTCAATTATGTTTAATTGCATGATTCACCTGATCACTTTACTCTCTGTAGTCATCTAGATGGATTCTTCTGATTATACTTTTACCTTTCTATCTTGTCACTTGTCACTTTTCTAACCCATTTCCTTGATTACTGTACTGTACAAAGTCACATTTAAAGTATTCATTGGGACCAGCAGTTGGTGTAATGGCTATGTCACTGGATTCCCATCTAGTTGACCACGATTCAAGTCCCAGACCTGGTGACTTAAACTCATGCTGGGTGTGTGTGCATGCATGCCCAAGATCCTGAGATGAGAATGGAGGAGAAGGGATTGTGGTGTGGCCATCCCCCCCCCCGGGGGGGTGATTTCTTACTTTCTGTCTCTCTGTATCTCTTTGTCTTTCTGGTGAGAGTATATGCCCTATAGGAAAAAAACTCTCCAAAATAAATAAATAAATAAAGTATTTATTAATCCTTATATTCATAAGTGTTAGTTTTTCTCCTCTTAAACTTTTAAGTTTTCCTTCTGAAACCAAGATGATACCGACTGTTTATATTTTTGATTCCTTTCATTTTGGGAGCTAAGTCCTGAAACCAAAAACTGATTCTACATTAGGTTATATCTGAATTATAACAATATAATTCTGGACATTTGTAAAAGATAGTTTTTATTCCTTTTTAGAAAAAGACTGGGAAGTTGGTGAACAGATGGAAGCAGAACAGCAAAGATTTGTCAAAAGAATGACAACCACACTAAAGAAAATCTTGACTAAGGAAAAAGGCAGTGACTTTAAAAACATTGGAAAAATGTCTCCTATGACTTCTGATATTAATTTTATGAGGAAATCCCTCTGTCAGTATGATTCTTTTGGGACAAGACTGAAACATAATTTAGACTTACCTACAAATGAGAGAAGCCATGTGACAAAGAAACATAATGAATGTAATAAGCCTGGAAAATCCTACCTTAAGTCATCCTCTATCACAGTAGACCCCTTTAAGTGTGCTCAGTGTAGAAAAGGCTTCATTCAGGAGTTGGATCTCATCAGACATCTGCGAATTCATACTGCGGAGAAACCTTATGAGTGTTACGAATGTGGAAAAGCTTTTAGTCGGAAGAGAAATCTCAGTTCTCATCAGAAAATTCATACAGGAGAGAAACCTTATAAATGTAATGAATGTGGAAAAACTTTCATTCACACATCAAATCTCATTAGACACTACAGAACTCACACAGGAGAAAAACCCTATGGATGTAAGGAATGTTTGAAAGCTTTCAGCCAGAAATCAAATCTCATTGAGCATGAGAAAATTCATACTGGAGAAAAACCATATGGATGCAATGACTGTGGAAAAACTTTCAGCCAGAAGAGAAACCTTAGTGAACATGAGAAAATTCATACTGGTGAGAAACCTTATGAATGTAATGAATGTGGGAAAGGCTTCTCTCGAATATCATCCCTTACTCTGCACATGAGAAGTCACACAGGGGAGAAACCCTATAAATGTAATATATGTGGAAAGGCTTTCTCTCAGTGCTCATTATTCATTATACATATGAGAAGTCATACAGGTGAGAAACCTTATAAATGTAATGAATGTAAGAAAGCCTTCTCCCGAAGGTCATCTCTTACTGTACATTTGAGAAATCATACAGGCGAAAAACCTTATGAATGTAATGATTGTGGGAAAGCTTTCAGTCAAAAAGAAAACCTCATTACACATCAGAAAATTCACACTGGGTATTCATTATACATACGAGAAGTCATACAGGTGAGAAACCTTATAAATGTAATGAATGTAAGAAAGCCTTCTCCCGAAGGTCATCTCTTACTGTACATTTGAGAAATCATACAGGCGAAAAACCTTATGAATGTAATGATTGTGGGAAAGCTTTCAGTCAAAAAGAAAACCTCATTACACATCAGAAAATTCACACTGGAGAGAAACCTTTTGAATGTGATAAATGTGGAAAAGCTTTTATTCAGTTGTCAAACCTTATCAGACACCAAAGAATTCATACTGGAGAAAAACCTTATACATGTAAGCAATGTGGGAAAGCATTTAGTCACAAATCTAATCTCACTGAGCATGAGAAAATTCATACTGGAGAGAAACCTTATGAATGTACTAAGTGTGAAAAAGCCTTTAGGCATAAGCAAAACTTCATTGAGCATGAGAAAATTCATACTGGAGAGAAACCTTATGAATGTAATGAATGCATGAAAGCCTTCTCTCGAATCTCGTCTCTGAATCTTCATCTGAAAAGTCATACAGAGGAGAAATCCTGTAAGTGTAACAAATGTGGGCTAGCATTCTCACAAGCCTCCTTACTTATACATATAAGATGTCATAGAAGTGAGAAATCATTAAATGTAAAGAATGTGTGGAGGCTTTTTCTCAGAAAACATTTGTTACTGTATATGCAAAAAGTCTGGGTCAGAAGGACAGTAAGTGTAATGAATGTGGAAACCCTTCTCTCAGATTTCAGCCCTTGCTTTACATGTGAGAACACATGCAGGTGAGAAGCCCTATTAGGGTAATGATTGTGGGTAAGCTTTCATCTAGAATTCATACCTCATTAGACATCAATGAATTCATAGTTGGTATAAACAAATTGAATCAGAAAAATTTCAGTAGGGATTCATATCTCATAGCTTATGTAAAAATTCATTCTGGGGGACCAGCAGATGGCATAATGGTTATGCCACTGGACTCTCACATGGTCAACTATGGTTCAAGTTTCGGACCTGGTGGCTTGAAACTCACACTAGGCATGTGTGGATGCATGCCCAAAATCCCAAGAGGAGAATGGAGGAGAAGGGATTGTGGCATGGCCATCCTCCCTGGGGGTGATTTCTCACTGTATCTCTGTCTCTCTCTGACAACTGCATGCATCCTATAGCAACAATATCTCTCAAAAAAAATAATTTCCTTCTGTACCAAAATGTTATGAAGGTAAAAAAACCTTCAACAAAAATTTAAAAACCCATATAGATTCACACTCAGGAAAAAAGACTGTTGGTATAGTGGAAAGCCTGTAGCCAACAAAAAGCTGCAGCAAACTTTGTACTTAACAGTGATATTCAGAAATATGACCATTAATGTTGTTGCAGAAAACAGACCACCAAAAAAACAAGTGCCACTAAGAGTAGGAGAACTCAGGTTTGTTACTCCGGCAGAACCAGAGGAGCTCATACTCCTAAATCTGGGCCTCAACTTATGAAAGTTACAGGAGTTATATAGTCAGAATCAGAGGTGCTACAGACAAAGAAAACTAGAAATGCTGCAAAATAGCTGTGTACCTTTCCCAGTTCCTATAGAGACTCACAATGTGTTGAAGTAGGCAGTTTACAAAAGAGGAACAGGTGTCAGTACTTTCCATTTGCAGGCATATTTTAGAAGTAGAGGTAGATAGCAAACAGGATCCATATCAGTGTCAGAAACAAGATATGAATGCCTGCTATAGCTACTGGGTCATAGGAAAAGTCATGATGTATTTTTCTATGTTTTTCTATGCAAAAAATGCGTCATGACCTTTCAGACAACCCAATGTTATTTATTAATAGTTGTACTGGATGAACTTGTCAATGAAATAATATGAGGAAAAGAAATACATTACACACATTTAAAAGAAAACAAAGGTTAAGATCATGACTTGAATCTTGGCTCTGCCACTTTCTGTGTGACTTTTCATTAAGCTACTTAACCTATCAGTAAAATGGGGATAATAGTGCCCACCTAATATTAACCCTATTATAATAGGGTTCTCTTTTTTTTAAGTTTTTGTTTTTTGTTTGTTTGTTTGTTTTGTTTCTTTGTTTTTGCAATAGGACACGTGCATTCACCGGAGAGACAGAGAGAGACAGACAGAAAGTGAGAAATCCACCCTTCCCCAGGGGGATGGCCACACCACAATCCCTTCTCCTCCATTCTCCTCTTGGGATTTTGAGCATGCATGCCCAGGAACCCAGGGTAAGTTTTAAGCTGCTGGATCCAGGATTCAAACTGTCAACTGTGGGAATTCAGTGACATAACCTTTATGCCACCTGCTAGTCCCTCTAATGTGTTCTTTTTGGGGTTTTTTGGAGAGGTTTTTGCCATAGGGTGCGTGCGCTCACCAGACAGACAGACAGAGAGAGACAGAGAGACAGAAAGTAAGAAATCACCCCCTGGGGAGATGGCCATGAAGCAATCCCTTCTCCTCCATTCTCCTCTTGGGATTTTGAGCATGCATGCCCAGGAACCCAGGGTAAGTTTTAAGCTGCTGGATCCAGGATTCAAACTGTCAACTGTGGGAATTCAGTGACATAACCTTTATGCCACCTGCTGGTCCCCCTCTAATGGATTCTTATACGAGTTGTTTTGTTTTGTTTTCTTAAGAAAGATTTTTTGCTATATGGCACATGTGTTCACCAGAAAGAGAGAAAGAGACAGAGAGACCGAAAGAGAGAAATCACTCCTTAGGGGAATGCCCATGCTGCAATTCCTTCTCTATTCTTCTCTCAGGGTTTTGGGCATGCACACACACACACACACACACACACACACACACACACAGCCAGCGTGAGTTTTAAGCTGCCGAATCCAGTACTCAAACCATGGTTGACTACATGGGAGTCCAGTGACGTAACTATTATGCCATCTGCTGGTCCCAAGTAATTATACATTATTTAATAGTTTCAAGTATGTGATATTATTTAATTGTCCTTTAATTATTAGCCATGAATATCATTATATACAAATGACATGGACATGTATAGAAAACCCAATCAACAAATTCCTAATAAGAAAAGATTAACATACAAAAATCAGTAGAATTTTATTATCCCAGGAATATCCAATTAAAAATATAATCTAGGGACTGGCAGGTGGCATGGTGGTTAAAGGCATTGGACTCCCACATGGCTGACCATGGTTCGAGTCCAGACCTGGTGGCTTGCTTTCTCACTTTCTCTCTCTCTGTGTGTGTTGCTATGGTAATATTTTAAAAAATAATAATAATGAAAAATAAAGGAAATAATTATTTTAAAATATATATAATCTAAAATAAAACTTGAGCATGTGTATGAATATATATATTCATGTATAAAATTGTAAAATATCATTGAAGAACATAAAAGAAATCTGAGTAATACAGTAATAGACAATGTTATAAAGGTGTAAATTTTCCTTCAAACAGTTTGTAAATTTATTGAGACAAATTAAAATTTTGAAATTGACATACTGATTTTAAAATGTATAGGAAAAGATACTTGAATAATAGGAATTTTTTTTTTAAGAACAAATTAGAGAAGATACCTCTTACAAGATGTATACTGGTAACAAAAATGCCATATACTGGCTGCCTCCTTCCACATGTGGCATTGCTGCTGCTCCCTCCTGCTCGCCCAGACCCTGATCCTGTACCTGCAGCAATGGGTCCCAGTCAGCCTGCTGTATTTAGTGTTTCTGACAAAACCAGCCTTTTGGAATTCACCAGAAGCCTAGCTTCTCTTGGTTTGAAACTCATCGCTTCTGGACTGCAAAATCTCTCAAAATCTCTTTTGACTAGTCTGACAGTCAAAAATGTCTCTGGGTTAACAGGATTTCCTGAAATGTTGAGAGGCCATTTGAAAACCTTGCATCCTGCAGTCCATTCTGGCTTGTAATATCCCAGAAGATAATGTTGACATGACCAGACTTGACTTTAGTCTTAAAAGAGTTGCTGTCTAATCTGTATCCCTTTGTGAAGCAGTGGCTTCTCTAGATGTAATGTGGAGGAGGGTGTTGAGCAGATTGACATTGGCAGAGTGACTTTGCTGAGAGCCACAGTCAAAAACCATGCTCGAGTGACAGTAGTGTGTGAACCAGAGGACTATTTGGCAGTGTCCACAGAGTTGAAGAGCTCTGATAATAAAGACACTTCCTTGGAGACTAGATGCTGGTTAGCCTTGAAGGCATTTATGCATATGGCATAACATGATGAAGCAATTTTAGGATACTTCAGGAAATAGTACAATAAAGGGATATCGCAGCTACCCTTGAGGTATGGAATGAACCCTCATCACACTCCTGACCAGATGTATACACTGAGGCCCAAGCTTCCCATCACAGTTCTAAATGGAACTCCTGGATTTATAAACTTGTATGATGCCCTGAGAATGCCTGGCAACTGGTGAAATAACTCAAGGAAGCTGTAGACATTCCAGCCACTGCTTCTTTCAGATATGTCAGCCCAGCAGGTGCTGCTATTGGAATTCCACTTAGTGAAGATGAAGCCAAAGTCTGCATGGCTTCAAATAGTTCATAGATGAGATAAATTAGATAGAGTCTATAATCTCTATCAGTCTCTTACACCCATATCAACTGCATATGCAAGAGCAAGAGGGGCTGATAGATGTCTTTTTCTGGTGATTTTATCATATTACTGATGCTCATGATGTCCCAATTGTGAAAATTATCCCCGGAGAAGATATCTTATGGTATTGTTGCTCCAGGATATGAAGAAGAAGCCCTAAAAATACTTTCTAAAAAGAAAAGTGGAAGCTACTGTGTTCTTCAGATGGCCCCATGATACAAAGCAAATGAAAATAAAGTCTGAACTCTCTTTGGTCTTTGTTTAAGCCAGAAAAGAAATAATGGTGTCACTGATAAATCAGTATTTAGCAATGTTGTTACCAAGAATAAAGATTTGCCAGTCTGCCCTCAAGACCTCACTGTAGCCACCATCACTGTCAAATATACACAGTCTAACTTGTGTGCTATGCCAAGAATAGGCAGATCATTGGCACTGAAATAGAACAGCAGTCTCAGATACATGGTACATGCCTTGGAGAGGATAAGGCCAACTATTGGTGGCTTAGACACCATCCACAGTGAAGAAAGCAGAAATCTCCAATGCCACTGATCAATATGTGACTGGAACCATTGGCAAGGATGAATATATGGTGAAGTAAAAGCATTGTTTGAGGAAAGCCCCTGAATTTTTGAGAGACACAGATGAAGGACTGGGTTGACAGACTCAGTGAGGTTTCTGTCAGTTCTGATGCATTCTTCCCATTCAGGGATAGCGTAGACTGAGCTAAAAGGAATGGTGTGGCATATATTGCTGCTCCTTCTGATTCTGCTGCTGACAAAGTTGTGATTGAGGCTTGTGATGAGCTGGGGATAACCTTCGTCCATAGGAATCCTCAACTCTTCCACCACTGACTTTATTACATGTTATTTTATGGTTTGCTTATTTGTAGGTGAAAAATCATGTGTGAAATTTTGAAACAAAATATCCTTTAAGAAAAATAAAACATCACCTCTAAAAATAATCCATATACCATGTTCAAATCTCATATTTCTCCTTCTCTGTGTCGAAGATCTCACCTTCCTGGTGTCTGGGCTTCCACAGTTTCTTTTTCTTGAAGTAAGCATCGGTAAGGTGCTTTGGGATTTTTACTTTGTTAATATCAATTTTCATGGAGGTGGCAATGACAAATTTCTGGTGTGTTTTATGCAGTGGAACTCGATTGAGAACTAGCGGTCCAGTTACAAGTAGCAAGCCACTGCTCAGCTGCTTCAGGAAAACCACTCTCTTGCCTCTGTGGCGTCCAGTGAGGATGATCAGAATGGTCCCAGGAGTGATGCTGGCTCACAGTTTTCTCACAGGCTGACTGAAGGTTTTTTATTTTTGTTTGTTTGTT